AAAGTGATTGCTCACGAGCATAAAACGAATGACTATAATTTGGATGTTTGGATCGGTGTCTGACATGATCATCTGATGCTACATGCAACTTAAGTTCATCTAATTCTTTTCGTAATGAAGAAAGATCATCTGTGTCAGATGTATAGAAGGATACCTCCTTACTAGGATTTATGGTTCCAGAAGTTTTGTCAGGGTTATTAATATCAAAGAAACACTGAACTTTTGTTGTGATGTCATTCAAAGTAGTTGTGTCATTTGTTGACATGGCAACGACTTGTTGACAGTTTGTAGGGAGGATTGAAACAAATTTATGTTTGAGTTGGGTGCGACCTACTCCAAGTTGAGTAGCTAATTTCTCCAAGCCTTCTACATTTTCCGCAGGAGTGATAGAAGCGTTGTAAGTGAATGAGGAATAGGCTTGGTGTAAACCAAATAAAGACTTATTTTCGGAGAATCTATTAATAAACTGCGTGCGTAAATCTTCACGACTTCGAAATATTTTCTCCTCTATCCACAATCTCGCGGTTCCTTTTAAAGACTGTTTGAAAAGATTTATCATCTTATTGATAGCAAGAACTGTCTGAGGATTCATCTCCTCATCAGAGTACTCAAGGTAATCTTCGAAAGATAAAAAATGGGCAGTGGCCAGATCCCTATTTAATACGGACCCATCAAATCTATCAAATGACAGAGGTCTCTTGCGTTCAACAACCTCGTTCCGACGGTTAGCCATAATTGTAATTGTATACAAAATAATCAAAATAGTTAAAAGATGTTTACAATTTTGTCCAAACATTGAATATGATTGACCTTGATTAATTCGTTCACTATATGAGCAACTATTATCAAAATAATTGTGTAAGGCAAATCAGGATGACTACAAGTTTAACCAATAAAGAAAGAAATAATGCATCTTGTAAACATGGAAAACATCAATTAGCAAAACAAATTATCTAAATATTTAAGATCATGAAACAATAATAACATATTCACACAACCATTCAGCATAATTCACACAAATATAGTATCAGAAAACGTTTATATTATAAATTGACTGGAATATTGCCAAATTAATTTGAAAGTTGTAAATTTGAATTTACTTATAAGCCAAAATTAAAATTTCTAAAGCCTTCTTTCACAATTCTGTTTTAAGAAAAAAAATATTGTCTCTTTTACAAATTTTACTAGGGATAAAAGTCATTGATTTACACATCAGGCTTCAGTAAAGGTTCACAAGACAGCAAACTTGAGTTGAAATAATGTCACTTGTAGGCTACACAACACAGTCACAAGACAGCAAACTTGATTCCAAGATTGTCACTGTACAACACTGTAGTCTATACTTCATTAATTATGTCACTATAAATGAATTAGATCTAGGCTAGTAGTAGTTAAGAGTTCTAGGCATCCACACTTTAACATGGGAAAATTGGCACTCATGTCAAAACAGATTTTCCATTAGGCCTTTATAACACAGTGTAGGCCTACATGTTTATGGATTTATTCATTTGGATTATTTGAAATGTCTCTGGATCTGTACATAAGCAATTTAGGCTAGATTTTAATTTCACACAAATTAATAATAGAGTTTATAATTAGGCCTCACTATAGACTATAGTATTTCAAGTCTGGTGAATTTGTAGTCCTCAGAAAATAAAGGTTCCCAAATATCTGCTGAACGACTAATTTCACACAAATGGAGTTTAATCAGGCCTCACTAGGTCTACTTCTGATGAAAGTTTACTCCTCAGAATAAAGTAGATTCCCAAAATCTGTTGAATAATGGGAGAATGTGCTCCACAATTATGAGTCCAAATCTCAAAACATGTGCTCCTCACATCACAAGTCAATTCTTGGTAACAATTCAAAAATATCACTTGAAAACTAGTTCTTCATATTCTACATACTAGAAATGGGAGTTTGGCATCTCCACCATGTGGTATTGGGGTGTATAGGCCACAAGATGGCCTGGATTGTTTATGACAATCAGAAGAGCTAATTAAAAACAGCCATCTTCCATTTCACTCCATCCCAGAATTCCATCTAGGATCAAAGCCTTTTATTAATCAAGGGAAGTAACTCTATTAACACAAAGAACTCAAGAAGGCTTCAGACCACTATTCCTTAATAATATGAATAAGTTGGTTTAGTAAAGGGAGTATATGACAATATATAGATTATGTGTAATAAATTATTATTATTATAAAAAAGAATGAATTCTTCTTTATAAATCTCAGATTAGACATTTCTGCTACTCATTTTATTAACCAATCAAAAAATGTATAATTGAGACCAAACGGTGTCTATCTTATATGTTTCATAGAAATCTCATCAGTGCGCCTATTGCCCAAGAGATGCATTATTGGCAAATAAGGACTCGATCTCAGATGGGATCACCAATAGTATTGATAAAAATCAACAAGAGTAGTGGCTCCAAAACGGACACATGGGTTACACCAGCATTAACTACATAGGTCTATTCTTAGTTTTGTTGAACCAAAGTAGTATCTGTCAATAAAATTCGTAGGAACAGTGTTCGGAAGGGGCTGAAGTTTTGGGTTTTCTTTTTCTTACATCAGAACGAAAGTGTATTTTCTACCACTGAATAAATACTTCCCATTAAAATGCATTGATTTTAATAGCACATACTGTACCATTAAGGTGATATTTTTTTAATCTTTCTAATATTGATAAGGACCTTTTAGAAGATGTATTTGAAGTTCTGTACAAAATATTCAGTAAGACAAGTATATTAATTATTCAACTCCACACCCCATCCTTACTGCAAAATGCACCAAATAAAACCTTAGTTATACAATTTTTTCTCGGGGAGATGTCTCTACAATCACCGCCAGTAACTCCTAACACCTACATCATAGCTCTTATACATGAATATTTCACAGTAATTTAGTTTTCATTTAAAAAAATACACGATTCTAGCAAGGTCAGTGTTAGTATTTTCGATAATAAACATGTGTTGTGTTTATGAAAGTTTACCACATAAAAGGATTTGCCACATAAAGGTTATTTAAGCCAGTGACAAGCTCTATTATAATCAATGTGCTGTAAAATACCAAACCAAGCGAAAACTATAACTCTATTATAAAGACGTGCTAAACAGCTGTTCACCAGACATTATTTGAACAAAAATTAACTGAACTAGAGGAGTGGAATAACATAATTTTTAAATGTACTTAGGAAATAGTACTTTGTATCAACGATCCTGCACCGGGTTTTCTGTACTAAGATACAGTAGTGGTTAACGCTCTGCTGTAATAATTGACTTATTTCATTTATGGGTTGATTAGGCAATTTGAGTCATCATCGTCATTACAGATATCTTAATTTCAGAAGTGATTATACTTCTAGATACGGTATTTTCTCTGTATTCAACTAAAAACTGAAAGTAACGATACGTGTTTTGCATTTTTCGGAAAAATATCAAATTTCACACAGCTTAAATCATTATGTACTCAGATTGATTATAAGATGGCGACCGTCTTGTTCCATACGAAGCCGCCATGATCGATGGAATTTACGATTCGTCATATCTTGTAAGTACTGAACGGAACTGAACCATATTTGGATTGATTTTTTTATTAGAGATCCAACTTTCACAATACTGTAGTTTGTAAGGGGTTCTATAGCACTAAAATGACGATTTCGGCGTGGTTCCCCCTCGTCAGTGGTGCAGGGCGGGGGGGGGGGGACAGGTTATAGACGTTGGGATAGTACTAAAACCATGGTCCCGTGAAAACATTAGTGTTTCATGTAAAAGAACACTTAACAGTAGGAATTCGAAATAAGAGTTTGCCGCGGTGCCGTTGTCCGGACACAATTTCCCTTATAGCAAACTATATCGTATATCCGTCTTTATTATCCCAGTCGGTGCTGAACAGTAGGACGTTCATTTCATTTACTAAAATAACGCATAGTCTTTAAAGATAAATTATGTAAAATTTAGACAAAGAGCTGACCGTTCTTGCTATAATAGTTCAAAAACAAAGAAAAATTAATATATTGAAATTTTCAGTCAAATTACTTTATTCTGAACGAAGAGCGAAGTTAAGAATTTTTTGAAGTTTTGGCAAGAAATATCTTAAATTGTCTCCAATGATTGCCGATTGACAGTTCATATTCTTGATTGCCAAATACCATTGCCACAATAATAAACGAAGTCTCGATTGTGAGAGTTGTCATATTATCGTTAAATGGTGTTATATTCGGGTCCTTTTAATCCCATTATTTGAACGTATGTGTAACCTCATACTCCTCGCACTGTTTCGTTTGATCAGACCTAATCCCACTCAACACTGCTGTAATGAAAGCAAATTTCTGTTCTAATTATGACTGCTCAATAGTCTGATTAACAACTAATACCTAACTGCGTAACAATATATGTTTACATAACCTTATGACATGACTCAAAAACAATATTACGCCCAATTAACCAGTGCATAGCAGAATATTGCAAACAAACTAATTACGTGACAAACGAGGCTATCAAATCGGCTACAATGTAAACAATACTGCATGGAGACGAAACAATACTTTCGCCGTTTTTAATACCTTAAATCACTGTCTAAAGTTATAGGGAAGACCCCAGATTAAGCGAAGGGTTGTCATGTTGCTGTTCTTAGGAGAGATTTGATTGAACGGGAAGAATAGACACACTGCCTGAAAAGCTCAAGTAACAGAAGTCAATCCAGCAATGGCCAGAACTAAATAACTCTTTCAGGAAGTACACCTGCCATTGTTAAAATCAAACAAAAGACTTGCGTCAATATTTAATTTAACTACAAAGGGTACTATTATTTCCACGAATACGATCAAAATAAAGAATATTCATCACAAATTGATTTAGTTTTGATATTATCGTGAAACGCAACTTCAATAACAGCTGTTATTTAGACAGGAGAATAATCGAAAATCACTAAGGTCGACTTGAAGCTTTTTATCTTATCCGGTTAATACACCTAGATCTTATCAATCTGTTTCATAGAGCTAATGCGAAGTCCTAATATTTAGGATTCAAGAAATTCCGAGAACAATTTTCGGGACTAATAATTGATGTGGAACTTTATGTTTAATCTTGAACTTCAATATGGAAAATAAACATTGGATCAATCTGGAAAGTTAGGATTTATTTGGTAATTTATCTTCCACATTAAATATAAATAGGAGTATTGCGAAGTTGAGAATATAAGTTGAACTATGACAATTTATGTTCCGATATAAACATAAACAAGAGAATGAATTAGAACTTAAAGATGGATGAGAACTTTAGGATGAATCAGGAACTTTAGGATTGATGTGGATAGATGAGAAAATTGAGTATTAAAGTGAGAATTAGAGTTAAAGATAGATGAGAAACTAGGATAAATTAGGAACTTTAGGATAGATGAGAAAATTGACTATTAAAGTGAAACTGATGAAATGTATGTTCCAAATAAAACATGAACTGGTGACTCTGACCTTTAGGATGAATTTAGAACTTTGGGTTGAATCAGGAAATTTAGGACGGATCGGAAAATTCAATATTGATCTGGAACTTGGAGACAAAAAGGATGAAAACTAGGATTATGAATATAATTGAAATATATAAATTGATTATGAATATAATTGAATAAATCTAGGATTAAAACTCAAGAAATAGACATTGTACACACATACAAGATTGTAGATTTTTCAGTGTTATTTATATATAATAAAGTCAATTTTTTGCCTGTATATTAAACGTATGTTCAAAATTGACTGATCTTTTGTGTTTGGGGTTATAGACCATGTTGGCCATCCAAAACATCTGGTGTTCAGCACGCTACTAATCATTAAAGCTTAGTATACCGCTGATAGCAGACGAAAAGCACATTGCTGAATTCAGTTCAATACAGGTTATTCAAATTCCATGAAAAGGACAATCTTAGACATTAAAGACCATCATAAAATAATATATGGATTTCAATCAAATTTAGTAAGTATTTTTTTAAAGAGATATTTATTCATTATAAATGAGTGAGAGATCGGGGAACAGTCAAAATGCCTATGTCATATCCCTATTCCTAGTATATTGCTTGAATAGTGAATTCGTGAATTGCGATTTGTTTAAATGTTATTTACCCCTGTTAGTGGTCATTTGGATGGGACGAAAGACTGAGGTCGCCGTTTACACCTTGGCCACGGTGGCTTAGTGGGTAAGACGCTGGCTCGCTAGCCTGGGGGTCCTGTGTTCGTTCCCTGCATTTGTCGAGAAAGTTCTTCTGGATTTTCCGACGTAGTTTCCCCGTGTCAGTGGCGCAGAACATGAGGGTCATAAGGTCAGCTGTCTTGTGATTCGGATGTATAATTTCCCAGATTAATTCTTGGCGTATACCCGTTTTCATAAGCAGAAAGTGGGACGTTAAACCCCATTTCATTCATTCATTCTCATACGGACCGGCGGCGAAGCGACAAATGTTTAACTTTTTAATTCCAAATAATTGTCATATATCCTCTCACAATCTCACACAACATCTTTTGGTCTTCGAAGGAATTATTAGTGAGCAGAAATTCGCCCATGTATCTGTTATTACTTCAGTCAGTTACATAGAAGGATAACCCGTGTTTTCCTTTTGCCTTCGTCACTTCCGATTGTTGAAACCTTTATTACGCATCTATCGTGGCAATGATCTATGTGTTAAAATTATATTTGGAAAGTGTTTAACCAGTTCTATTACATATGTGATAATGACTGACACCAATATTGTCCTTTAATTTCGCTGTGCATGATAAACTTATAAAAAGTACGGATCAGTGGGTATCAGAGTGGAATCAATTTTAGTAGTACCAATATAGTAAGCACAGGAGGACCGCGACACACAAACAATTAAATCTACAAACATGACATAATATACGCCGACACTTCAAACAATAAACAACACACGTATATTGTATCAGATCAAGTGAATGGGTCCGGGGGCCGGTTGTAAGCTTCACACACAAAAACCAAAAAAATCTTACAATTTAACAGCGAAAACTTTAGCAGTATGACATAATAAATAATGCGACTGTTCTTGGCGGTGGTCGTCTGCCGAAAGGGGGTGAAGAAGTGAGGGGGTGGGGATGATTTAATGATTTAACGTGGCGCTGTAGGCTAGATCATTTATGCAGGTGGCGTAGTTTCGATTTCCCGCTTGCACATTCAACTTCGTAGGTTTTGAAAGAAATATGAACCATAGTCCCGAAATGACTTAGTTTGTGTCTAGTTGACGTTAAACCCTGCGAACAACAAACAAACTACATAGACATTGCAAGCAATAAACATCTAATCAAATCACAACGTAACCGATCCGTTATCTCTTTTGCCACTTCGCTTCAAAGTCATGAATATTATTCGATTATACACCCCAAAAACAGAACAAAAAAGTGCCATACAAAAGAGGGTAAGGGAGATAGGGGGGGGGGGGGTCTATAAATAGAAGGAACTAAATTGGGTGACCATATGAGGGGAATTAATGGTGGCCTAGATGAATACAAGTAACACTGCATATATTCAATATTATTATAAAACCATTACAACAACATCGTCTTCATTAGCAAGGTAGGCACACCACAGAAGGCCTATGGTGTTAAACCCCATTACATTTCTTAAAACTATATCTCATACATAAATCGACATGATTACCATGCCTATAAAAATTAATTAGCCATTAGATAAAGCTGTAACCAATACATGGATATAGCCTTCATTTTCCTTCAATCGGTCAATAAATAAAATAAATATTTTTCTTTGAACTATTTCACTCTTGTAGAGTGCTTAATTATTGACCCCAATTAAGAAAGGATTGGCTTGAGCTATTATGGCGATCGATCGTCGCCATTAAAAAGTCGGTATGAAATTCCTTTACCTGATTTACTTGGCCCTGGTATAGGAAAATGTAACAATCATTACCGTACGACTCAGTTGTGATTTCTTGGCATTTTGTGGGGTAATTAGTATATTGGCAGCTATTTTTCTCCCGGTGTCATGCGATCTGTGACTTAATTTATGTTGTTCTATTTGTTTTTCCAGGTTGTATGGTAATTACAGGGCTACTTCTGAATCCTTGAAAAATGAAAACAATGAAAGATTAGAGTCTTGTGCAGTTCGTACGAACCAAACAAAAAATGCGGACACTTCAAAAATATCTCTTAGTAATATCCTGCTTGCCACTTTTAATTTTTTACATATTTTTGGCAAGGGGCAACAAGGCCATCGTCACCGATATTCAGAAGCTTGAAGTAGAAAAAGAGACACATTCAAAATATTTACAGACGAAAGTGATTCACGACGTTAAACATAGTCATAAAAACACACCATGTCTTATAGACGAATGGACTAGATACGACAAAACAGCCCGATCATTGAGTCGTAATATATTTTGTGATGAATTTGCTGAACAATCTGATATTTTATGTCGGTGGTATCTTGGTCAACAAAACATAACAGATCACAAAAAATGTCTTCTACCTCAAGATGGCTACAAGGTTCCTAATATCGTATATTATATTACGTTTGGGCATTACGATTTCCGGATGGAATTTTATTTGTCTATTCTCAGTGCTAAGAAGATCCAAAATCCTATTGCTATCTATGTTATAGGCAACTTGCCGCCATTAGGAAAATGGTGGGCAAAATTGTTAGAGGATGTGCCAGATATCAAGTTTATTCACCGACCGATGCCTTCCGAAATATCCGGGTCACAAGTCAGATGGCCTGCGCATGCTTCTGATATAGTTCGCCTGCAAACACTTATAGGTATGATATCGAATTCGAGTTGAAGCACTCGATTTTATTTTAATACGACCACTATTGTCAAATGGTATTTCAGTAACTAATTAATTAATCGAGATCCCAAAAGTTTAATTGATCAGGAGGTCGCAGGTTCGATTACGACGTTGGCCGACAAAATTCCTCGGCATTGTACAGCGTGGCAAGGAACAGGTATATTCGTGCGGGTGGTACGAAAATCCGATATGCGTGTTTACGTTGGTGGGCACATAGAGAATAGAACGGGAGCCCAATTAGGGTTGGTGGGGCTTCAGCTAATCTAGCCTAGTTGAAGGGGGGTGGGGGTATTATGGTCATGTCTGTTAGGGATAGACCACCGCACAAACTGTTCTGTGGTCTGGAAATTACATAACTCTATCAGGGCTACCCCACCACTAGAAATGTCCGTCGGGGTGTTTTTGTAATACTTTTGTGCACTCTGTATCATTTTCATGTGGTACACTTATGAGTTAATCTAGTCAAAGTATGCATGTCCAGAATCACAGTCCTCACAGCCACACCCACCACCAGATACCCGACAGACTTACATTCTGATATGCATGCATTGATACTATATAGATGAAAATTGGTACGCTTTTCAGCTAGGGTGATCCCCCTGGACCCCTGCTCTAGAACCCCCTTAAATGAAAATAAGAGTAGCTCGTTGCGCCGCTGCTCGGATCAAAATTTCCCCCACGACACTCTGTCCGTCTTCGTTATCCCGGTTGGTGTAGAAAAGTAGGATATTAAACCCCTATTTTCAGCACCTGCGCGAAAGAATTGACAATCTCGTGATTCAGAATGGGTTTATTTGTTAGAAATAAATCCGTATCTTCTCTTTATTTTCTTCCTTATCAAATTCGAACTATTACTCGTTGCTGCGCCATATGAAAATAATATATAAATCAGTTCCTTTCCATGCACAACAACAATCGAATTAAAATACAGATCTATATTTCGTTTCCTTTTGTTTATACTTTCGATGGCCTATACTACATGAAGATCTGACAAGTTGTACACGAAGGTCGTTCGTGTCAGGGGTCGTAGGCCTACGTGCTGCTTCTGACCCTACGACATCAGTCATTGATTAATCAATGAGCGTTGACGTGTCTTGTGGTATAATCACGGTTTCGTGCATGACACGCCAAGAAGTCGCCGTAACAGACCGTTTCATTGGCTTGTCCCTCACTTCAACCAAAACGCCGGTAATATAACAAATCTTCCAGATCCTAGTGTAGTAGAGACAAGTAAAACGAAATTTTAAACTATAAAAAAACGAAACGAAATAGTATCTGTGTTTAAATCAGATTGTGCATAACAACGAATATGGACCCTGGTTTATCGCCGTAGACGACTTTTCTTGCTCTTCATCTTGCACCAATGACAAGTACAAACCAGGCACGAACATCCCGAATAACTTTCTTTGTTTTTGCATATGTTTTTTTTTCTCCAGCAAATGGTGGAATTTACATGGATACAGATGAAATCTTTATCAGACCGTTTGAACCGTTAAGAAACTTCCCAATTACAATGGGTTTAGTTGACACCAATACTGGTATGGGCAATGCTGTTATTGTTGCACAACGTAATTCAACATTTTTAAGAGCCCTTCACGAAGAGTACAAAGTATTTAATGGATCGGAATATTACGCGAACTCTTTACAAGCGGCACTTCGTTTGTGGAAGAAAAACAAAACCGCCTTACATTTAGAGGGTGACAGATTTTACCGACCCAGTTGGTACGAGGACGATCTATTATATGTTAAAACAGGGTTTAATTGGAGAAATAACTATGCTATCCATGTTTGGAGCAAAAAGAATAGTCACAGAGTTCCTGGAACAATCGAAGAGATTGATAACTGGAATACAACTTTAGGTGAAATATTTAGATACGTTTATTACGGCGATTCGAACTTAAGATCCGTTGTGGGTAAAGGAAGTCAATTTAAAAATAACTAAATATTAGTTATCTGTTGATTTTTGGAAATGGTAAAAGAAACATAGACATACAGCAGCGATCATATCATTAGTGTAGGAGAACAACACCGCACATAAACAAACAAACAAAATGGCAGAAGACAAATCCGCGCACAAGACAGATCACAAACACATAACACGGCCATTAAAGATGCATTATGTAAGATTTGGATATATAGCTTGTCGTTCCTGTTATTCTGTTTGGAGTTTTGCCATTATGTGTCATTGATTGTTTATTATCATAACAACGAAAATTGTTATTCGAGACTTAGTATCGCTATGCCATTTTTAAATTAAATCATTAGATGGCCGAATCTTTATAATCTTTATGAAATCAGAGTCATCCGATGACCTAGCGAATTGATTATGGGCATGTAATGTTAATACGTGTTAAAATACTAGTTTATATAACATTTGACGCCACAATAAAGACCTGTGAAAGGTAGATTTAGTTCTTACATAAGGTATCTTTAAGTAATAAATGATAAAAGTACGATTAAATCAAGTGAATAGATCCAGGGACAACCCGTAAGCGTAAGCGTTCCGTTTCTGTATAATCCTAGTCCCGTAGGAATAATGTAATTATTGGTGGGTTTTTTTTTTGGATTTATGGGATTTCTAATTTCAAATAATGGACACAAATTTTGATTTATGTGTTTATTATAATATTGTTCGGTATGAACTCCTTGCACCATTCAACAATTACAAATAACTAAACCCCCAAGGAATTTGTTTCACACTTTAGTGATCAAAGAAAGTCAATTTACAGGTTTAAGTAATAATTCAAAAAATGTGTCAGAAAACCATACAAGTTCGCGTACTCGTTTTCTTGTTTCAATTTGAAATTATTGTGAATAAACTATGCACTATTAACCCTTAGCCAATGAGAATATGAATCATAACATTTCTTTTTATTGTTATGTAGACTTATAAGGTTTCTAAATGTCACCTACGCTATGGTAATTTTCAGAAATGTCAAACGCAGAAAAATTAATGTAATTATTCCTGTGAGAAATAGTTATTTGTTGTTGCATATTGTTTAATAATAGAAGTGCCTATGTATAAAATAACGCTAAACGGTGTAACATCTTGTATATTGCTTTAAAAGATATCTTCCTACGAAAGTATTTATTTTCAATAAATATTTGACAGCTTTGGTGTATATCAAACGAATAGTAGAAACACTCAATCTTGCTAAAAAAAAAATAAAGGATTCTCTAAAAAAAACACCCATGGGGCGCCCACAATACAAAAATGGTGGACATTAACTGTTCGGGTGACGTAATGGGCGCTTCTTATGTGTGATATAATGGCTACCGGTTGGGAGAACACTGAAAGACTTAAAAGTCTAGTAGAATTAAAGACTAAACACCGGAAAAAAGAATAATTTACTTAGGCTTCGATATTTGTGGTAAATGGGCATAGACTAACGACAAATACAAGCTGGAAATGGATTCCCTCCTCAGCCAAGTCATGTGACAAGCCGGTATAACATAGAGTCTTGCGTCATGGGGTAGTTTAGAAAGGGATTTGAAGCAAACTTTTGATAGAATCAGTACTTGTTGACAGGCCGGGCGTTTGCTTTATTAACTCGTTTATGGCGCAATTGGTATTATCAATGTCTTTGATCTTGTCATAGTCTGTAGTTTGGCCATGGTCTGTAGTCTTGTCATTATCTATGGACATATCATTATCTGTAATATTATCAATGTCTGTTAACTTATCAATTTTTTATTTGTAACTTTGGGAAGTATGGCGCACTGCGCAGCTACAGAATAAACAACACAACATATGTGAGATGCTTCAATATACATACCTTTAGCACACAGAGTAACATCTGGCGTGGCTGCTCGGGTGGCGTAATTAGCTTCTTATGTGTAATCTGATGATGGCTAACGGTTTTGAGAACATTTCGAATATCGACCATTATTTTCAACAAGTGACTATTTGTATAGTAACTTAAACCATTGGTACTTTTAAAAGACTTTATTCACTATAAATACCCAGCTGACAAACTGCCTCCCCTTAGCAAAAAGTTCTACAGAATACCAGTGTAGAATTCTATAGAAAATCTATAGAGTTTTTTTGTTTGGTTTTTTTTTTGGGGGGGGGGGGGGGCGTGTCCCATTTTCTATAGGATAAAATTCTATAGTATTCTACAGAATTTTGGGGGCCTTTAGGAAATATTCTACAGTTTCTGTAACGCACATCCTATAGTTTTTCCTACAGATTTATGGCAAAATTTCTGTAAAGGTATGTCAAAGAAAGAAATAGTTAAGTTCATGAACAGGTGAAATGCTTTAATAGTTAATAATACCAAAACCAAACGAAATTTAACATAATTATGTGCATGGTGGTGTAAATAAAACCCTTGCTTACCGATATGATGTTCCAGTAAACGTTATCTGTTTAAACGAGTATTCGCATCGCTTGTCTAAAGATTTAAAGGCTCAGTAGATAAGTTTTCAATATGAAAGACGAATAAGCGGAGTTCAAGAATATCATACCAAGACATGGATATCTCACATAACACAAAAAAATCTTAGATGCATGATGTACATGTATTTATTGATAAAATAAAATAAAAAAAAGACGTTGACCAAAGATTTCCGGCATGACCCCCCCCCCCCCCTCCTTGTCAGTGTAACCAGATGTTGTCACTTTACCATGGCTTTACAACTTAATTAAATGGGAGAGAGATCGACATTTATGTAAAACATTCACGTTACCAAAGTTGATTGAAAACCAATATTTAGGGGATGTTTACAACCCAAGGGAAGCAACTACATCCTTTGTTAAGACCTTTCCATGAAATGAAATGGGGATTACGTCCTGCAGTTCTGCTCCGAACTGGGCTAATGAAGACGAGCATATGCCATACAGTGTGCTATGAGGGAAATTTTGCCCGGACAGCGGCACTATGGCCTACTCTTATATCGAATTCCAACTGTCATGGGATCTTTTACGTGCATTCCAATGTATACGCGGGACCCCGGTTTTTCGTCCATGCCAGGCCCTCCGTCCTGCATCAATGACAAGGGGAAACCACGCCGGAAAATCTGGATGAACTTTCTTTGCCAATGCAAGGATCGAACACCCGACCTCCAGGCTAGAGAGCCAGTGTCCTACCCACTGAGCCACACCTTTCGATGACAAGGTACGAACTTGTGTATAATGAATTATAGTAATAATATGACTGTAATAACCGAGTGTAAAAGTGTTTAAATAAATTTCTTTACTAATAAATACTAATTAGTTCGACTAAAATCAACACGATAGAAAGGAAGAACTTTAAAAAAGAAAAAAAAAATGGCGTCGTCTCGCAGGAACATACCATTGACAACAATAACATAACAACCATAAATTTAGAAAGTTGTGGTATCTCGCTAATACACGACTGTGGCTAATATTCGCATCCCCATTGACTCTAGGTGGGTTATGGATCAGGTTAGGCTACGCATATAAGTTGTGGGGCACTCTAGGTCACGCAGAAAAATGGTGGGCATTCTAGGTGGGTAAATCAGAGCATGGCGTACTTGTGTCCCTTGATTTTGAAATGTTATATTATTTTCTTCTTTTGATCGATATTTAAAATAGCCCAAGGCCTGTCAACATACATTATACAAGAGCTAAATCTGCCTATTGCAAGTCTTTATTTAGGCTTCAGATGTTATAGATATTATTAATTAGACCTTTATTTACATGACATGCTCAAAATTAACTCTGTAGACCTTCGGATGGCTTGGATACAACCGGGATTTAAACAGTCGTCCATTTAAATATAAATCAAGAAATGGCCGACCAAGCTAACATACCGTTAGTCACTGACGTCACTACCGGAATCTGGTGATGAAAGGCCTAACAAGCGAGGGTACCATAGCCATTGAGAATTTTACTTGATAATCGAGAATATGTGGGTGGAGTTATCGTCTGTCAATCAAACGATCGGCAATTCTCGTTGACGGTGCGGAAACAAATGATGTCTATTCCTAGTCCAAACTTCAAATAGTGACAACTCCGTTCAGAATAAAGTACTTTGACTGAAATTTTCATTATTTTCTTTTTTTATCATCTATTTTTGAATTATTATAGCAAGAATGGCCAATTCTTTATTAAACTCTTAACTAATGTTTTTAAATTTTTAAGAAATTTTCAACTTTAGTAATCCATGTGAAACTAAAAACATGGTTATCTCCCGTGAATTAACAAATCAAAACTGCTACGTTTCTTTGTGAAGTTAAACAAGACTAAGCTCACTATTAAACTTAAAATGTATTGCTCATTTGGGCCTATTGAGGAACCCTAAGAAATTTGGAATTTCTCGATCGTAAATCGTGCAGTCGTTCTCCACGTTTACACTAAAATTTTAGAAATCTTGCAAAAACGATACAGGATGTTTTACAAATCAGCTAGATTGGTCATGGTTGAATAAAAAAGAACCATAATTTGGAATATATTTTTTTCCGAACATATCTTGACTGTGAGCACGATAAAGAAAAATATGGAGATCTAATTTTTAAAAAAAAAAAAAAAAAAACCTTGGCGAGACTGTTAACTTTCAAATTCATGAAATCTTATGAATGGGGCCATCGGGAAGAATCCTATTGAATTGCGAAATTTTAGAATTGTAAATTTCAAACGCGTTTCGCAGAATCCTGTTCCCTTCATATTTTGACTGCTAAAGTTCATAATCTGAGGGATTTGTTGATTTTAAGATTAACCATGGACAAATATGCTGTTAGTGGGTATGTGGTATTTTTTATGATGATAATATGATTAACGAAGTGCCGATTAGAACGATCTGTGAAGAGTGTGTTACCGTGGCTATCTGAGTGAATGTTCTCTTGTGACATTTGTATAATCTGGTCCATACAGAGGACTATACAAGTATACACATCACTTGACAACATGGACACAAGTTAAAGGGAGTTTACAGAGCCAACCCTACTCAAAAACTGCTGGACTAACTGATGATTCATGTCCCAAATCATGACTGGTTAATAGTCAATCAACCAATCAATAACAACGTAATAAATCAATCGAAATTAACCAGAGATCTAAAGGTGTAGTAATATGGTTGGCGGGATTTGTGTAAAAAGAACACATGTGTAATAATATCATTGCCTAGACTAATTATAGTTTAGAGATTCATAGTCAAGCAAAATAATACCTAATAAAAACATGTTTTATTTTTCTTCTCCATTGTCAGTATATTAGCTATAGGCTATGGTATGAGTTGTTTTAAAACGCAAATGAAAGATACATTATGGGAGATTTTAATAGAGAGTTGGCCACTCTTGGTATAGCAGTTCAAAAATAGATGATGAAAGAAGAATATATTAAAAATTTCAGTCAAATTACTTTATTCTGAACAAAGTTATCACGATTGTAATTTTTGACTAGAAATAGGAGTCAACTCTCTCTTTACCGTCTCCGAGAATGGCCGATCGTTTGATTGACAGGCTAACTCCACCTACATATTCTCGATTATCAAGTAACGTGTTCAATGGCTGTGGTACCGTTAGCCTATTCGGTTTGAGACGGGGTTGCAATTCAATTCGTATCACATTTATTTTTACTACAAATTAAAAATAAGACTTTTAATATATAGATAAGAAGCGATGTTTATCAATTTCCATAATTTTTCTGTAAACACAAGTGATAAAAGAGCGTATAATACCGCCATCCAAACTCTCATTTAACCACAACTAAACATAATATCCGTAAATGGACAGAAAACTCCAGGAACGAACGAACGAACAAAGCGCGATTTTTAGACCACCATGTAGATTCTAGAGGAGATGATGTAGCAAGCCCTATCAGCAAACTCGCACTAGCGAGTTCGGATAAGAGTGTGAGATAGAGGGAGTGACATTATTTTTAATCTATGCTTGTAACATATGTACCCAGCTTGATATAAAACTGTAGAAACCGTACTTTTGTTCCTGTCATCTTGTTTGTTAATCATACGATATTTTGGGACTGATAAAAAGATATACACAACGTGAGATATTAAAGAAACATATTAAAACGTTTTTTTAAAAGTGTTTCATTATATATATTTACTGTAAGATTTTATTATTCCTTATATTCGCAACTAGAAGAATTATATATTATCATTATAGATATTAACTGTAACATTTTATTATTCCTTATAGCTAGAAGAATTATATTAGTATTATAAATATTTACTGTAACAATTTATTTTTCCTTATAGCTGGAAGAATTATATTTATAGATATTTAATGTAACATTTTTATTATCTATCTATACTAATATTTGTGACTGTCGTTTGTCTGTCTGTTTGTCTGTCTGTTCGTCTGTCTGTTCGGGGTTGGCTACTACACTAGGACTGCCCCGAGTCTGAAATTTGGGGTATAGGGGTAGCTCGGACCGGGGAGTAACATAGGCCAGGTGGCGTTAGTCTACCACTTCCGGTTTCGGGGTTATGACCCCCGAGCGAAGCCGGGTATTCTTCTAGTCCCTGATAACCAGAAGAATTATATTAGTATCATAACATTTTATTATTCCTTATAACTAGAAGAATTATATTTATAGATATTTATTATTCCTTATAACTAGAAGAATTATATTAGTATTATTGTCTATATGATATAGCGGGGTTGTGCCTTTTAGATCATTAGGTCTGTCATTGTGAGTCACGTGGTTGGTTTTGATCGATGGAATAATACCGTAACAAATGTTAGTCCCGAAATGACCTAGTTTATGTTGAGTGGACGTCGTTACTCTCTCTCTCTCTCTCTCTCTCTCTCGTAGCAATACACGTAAAGCAATTATTCTTGTTTTATATGTTCATAGGGCAGGTGCGTGTCCAGAGGATGGTCCGGGTGTTCTGGACAATCCCCTGCTAGCGCAGTGCATATATTTTTCTCCTACATTCATCAAAATGAAATGGGGTTTAACATGCTACTGTTCTGAACCGACTGGGTTAATGAAGACGGACATACACCATATTGTGTGCTACGGCCTACTTTTACATCTACATGTACCTCTTTTTTTCGTCACATTCGAACGACCATACGTTGTCCCTTAAATGGCCCTCTGTCCTACACCACTGACAAGGGGGACGACGCTGGAAAATCTCGATGAACTTTCTCGGCCAACACCGGAATGGAACACAGCCAAAGTTTTACTTACCGAGTCACCGCGGCTGCCTACATCCATCAAAATAACGTCGAACAATCAAGCGTGCTAAGTATTCCGGTGGCTTTGGTCTCACTCCACACATTATCTATACATGTATGCAGAAATCTTTTCTCGGAGCTTCTGATTTTAAACAATTCTCTGGAAATTCCTACCCCACCCTAAATGCCAAACTAGACGTTGTCTCCATTTTGACCCCCCCCCCCTCAACCCCGCCTCTCGATGCTCAAATTACTCACATTCAGGTCCGTGCATGCTCTCTCTGACCTTGTAAACTTTCTAGGTATCTCTATTCAGCGGGAAACTAACTTTCTTTGCGTCCCAGTGGTCCTCTAGTTTGACCCAACCAACCCCACACAACACAAGACGAAATACACATCACTATACTCATCAAACATACTTAAAGTTTTCAACAAAATGCATTGCTTTCGTAGAAAAATAAAATTATGCCAGGAGTCTTGTATGACAAAGTGGCCTATAACTTTCATCGAACTGAAGGATCATTAAGGTGTATAGAACTTCTTGACCCCAGCTGGTTTTTGATAATATATGATATTGACATTTCAACTCTGTATATGCTTCTGTTAGGCACGAATTGGCTATGCTATAATTAAACATGTAATTAATCCCATCCGCCATTTACAAGCTACATATGATCTGTGAACAAGCTCGGCATGACTTCAAAGGAAAAACGCATCGGTCGGTTAATCATACCATGACGTGATAAATAAAATGATCATGTCTCTTATCGAGTTATCCTAATTGTTGGCCTATATAACCAAGAGTTTACTGACAGTAGGGCAGAAGAGAGATGCAGACGAGAGATTAGCGGGGAGGAGAAGAGAGAAACAGAGACCGGCGAATGGGCCTCCCGAGTCCAGCCGCTGCCGAGGCAGAAGAGCAGAATGCTTGAAATATAGTCATATACTATATTAATGTTCCTGGTGTAGTTTAGTTGTATTTATGTAGCTGTTCCGATGTAAATAAATCATATATTTACGAAACTGATCTCTGTTATCACTAAGATAGTGTTACACTTGTAGCATTCTTCTGTCCCTACAGAAACCAGTGGCTGCCAGGCAGTATACGCCCACATTTTTCAAGAGGTGGATAGAGAACAAGTTAAACAAAAAGCGATTTTTCGCAACACCAAGGGCCACCAGGAAGGTACGATCAGATATGTGCGAACTCAACCATAATTACGGTGTAACGGTGATATATTCACACGGTTTTCTTAAATCGGATAATAATTGTGACCTCTAGAGGGACCACAAGCTAAAAACGCGATTTTTCGTACAGTCAAAGGCCATAATTCAGGAAGTTACAATCCGATATGCGCAAATAGCGATAGGAACCAAGATCTTTGGGTTATAAACATGTATTTCAAGTTTCATCAAAATCGAATCAGAATTGTGAGCTCTAGAGGGTCCACAACCTTGATATATCATATTTTTTACACTGTTTGCGTTCGAGGGGCGGCCATTTTGTCCAGCAGTTTTGGTCCGATTTTCACGAAATTCGAACTCGACCGTCATTAAGGTGTAACGGTGATATATTCAAACGTTTGTTTTAAATCGGAACAAAATTGTGACCTCTATAGGGTCCACAAGCTAAAAAAAACCCCGTGATTTTTCGTAAACTCAGGGGCCATAATTCAGGAAGTTACGGTCCGATATATGCGAATATCGAAAGGAACCAAGATCTTTGGGTTATAAACTTACATTTCAACAAAATCAGATACAAATTATGAACTCTAAAGGGTCCACAAGCTAAAACGCGATTTTTCGTACAATCGAGTTAAAGGGTGATATTTTAGGGCGTTTTGGATTTTACTATCATCTAATCACCCCACAACATAATGAATGATTTTAGTGTATTCCTTGACCCCAGGAACATACTTTTAGACACCAAAATTATCATACTAGACAAAATACTATGGGAGTTATAGGGGATTATTTGAAATGGCGGCCGTATATTGCGCCATCTTGAATTTCTCAGACATCCTAGTCTACTAAAATCAATCATAAAAAAAAACTTTTTACACAATTACCAGGTTCAGCCATAGTTCTGCCGGACTAAAAGGGGCATTATGGGAGATTAGATAAGATTTAACAGTTCTCGCTATAATAGTTAGAAAATAGATAACGTAAATAGAATATGTCTCTGAACCGAGATATTAGCTTTTGAATTTTAGGCTAGAATCGATCATCATTACTAAAGTCTCGATTATCTATTTTTACGTGTAATTATCCTTCACAAAATGTATTCCAGTCCGCTAAATATTGCAGGCTAGCGATGGCATCAAGAGTTGATTATGGTCTGGATAAGTTAATTTATTTAGATAACATTTCAGGCTTAAAGAAAGACCTGTAATATGCAGGTTTAGCTCTTGCATAATGTATGTTTTAGTAACTGTCGTCGCAAATATGGTTATTGTCACAATACGACTGTTCCCAAATCAATTATAGAGTTAGTTGTCAGAATTCTGAATATTCGTGATTTATACCTATGTCAAATCTTACTGAATTTTTAAATTTTAAACTATCATTATATTTTAAGAAAAAGATCGACACACGTTTGTTATAAAACATGGGAAACATAGAAACAGTTGGTGGTGTCATAAAGTAGGTGAATCAATATCACAAGTATATTCGTGGTATACTGTAATATGTTCATTTGATTGACAAGTTTATAAACCTAACGACACCTGTTGACATCTGTGGCTATTTAATATTAGGTATAATATTCAGACTTGCGTATAGTTTTCTTTTTAAAATGCAATCATTCATAACAGGGTGGATAGAGTATTTTCTTAATGTATTTACCACGGAAAGTCAACCGAAAAATATCGTTTATTCCTGGATTTTCCGGAGCCACGGTGGACGGTGGGGGGGGGCGGTGAGCATGGCACTGGGTCCTTAACCAGGGTTTTATTTTGATCCTGGTGTTGGCCGTGGATATTTCAGCGTGGTTTCCAAGGAGGGCTTGGCAAGCTACAGCGCCCAGTCGTTCGAATAAAACGAAAAACAGAGCCCTTGACAATTGGGAGATGAAGCAAAACGCCACTGTTGAAACCAATGTCGCTTATCAATTGTCACTAATAAAACATATGTTTCCGTATTATCAATCAAAATATCTTAGAGGTCATTGTTATATGGCTGAATATTCTTTGTGAAATCTTTTTCAGGTAACAAAAACTGAACATAATTCTACAGGAACGACAAATATGTTTCCTGATGGCATCTAACGCGGATCTGAATATGTGAAATATAAACTGCGCCATTTAACTTTGCTTATTCAGATGTTAAATTTGAAAATTCAACCATAGAAAAGCGTCACCCGATTTAATACAGCTTAATTAAACCAACAAAGCCAAGAAAGGAACCAGGAACAACGACATGGAGATTTGTTAACTTAATATGAACCAGGAATAATGGCATGGAAACTTGGTACCTTAATATGAACCAGGAATAATGGCATGGAAACTTGGTACCTTAATATGAAGTTAGTTCAGAAGTACATTGCTCTAGCCAGTATCACAGTTGTGATAATTTATTTTTATCGAACAACCGATATAAGTTTATTTGCAAAGTATGACAAATTTGATAAACATGACCACAGAAATTATAGGGATGAATTGTTACCGGCAAAGAAACCTAACATTACAGCAAAAACCAAAACCCACAACTCTTGCATCGTGGACGATTGGATAAGGTTCGATCCATCGGCAGAAACATTAAAACGTTATATATTTTGTGATGAATTTGCTAAACAATCTGATATTTTATGTCGGTGGTATCTTGATCAACAAAACATAACAGATCATAAAACATGTCTTCTACCTCAAGATGGCTACAAAGTTCCCAATATCGTGTTTTATGTTCACTTTATTTATAAAGAGTTGGATATGGAGGTTTATATGTGTATACTTAGCGCCAAGAAAATTCAAAAACCATTAGTTATTTACATTATAGGTGACAGACCGCCTTTAGGAAAATGGTGGACCAAGCTTTTAGAGGATGTTCCAGAACTTAAATTTATTAGCAGAGCTATGCCACGAACAATTTCAGGATCTTCCGTTCATTGGCTAGCACATGCGTCAGATCTCGTTCGACTTCAAATACTTTTGGGTAGGTGCATGTTGTTTTAAATCATTTTATGTTGTATTCAGAATAATCAGACTTGGGAAGTGGTGTAATGTAGTCTCGAAAGTGTAAGCATAACAGTAATTGTAACAAAGTTTAGTATTAATAAAATAGTGACGGTATATGCTCGATACATCACCTGATAACACTTCCCTATTAGTATTGGGCACCCACAAATGTTTAAAATAAGAAAGCAACTAAACGGAAAAAATAGTTAGAATGTTGAGTTGTTAGCTCGCCCCCAAAAAACATTTTCGTTAATTACATCAGCAAGATCTATACTCTTCAAAAAAGTAGGGGATATTTAGAAACAATACAAAACTGCGGAAATGCACTGCTGTTTTTATTAGAGGTAACCAGTGTATGTTAATAACAGGCCAATTGTCTGGTCATGAACATAAACAGTTCATATGGGAGATTTATCTGATGTCCCTATTTCACTCACAAACAGATACACTGTCAAAAGTGAAAATTGACGTTTTTGATTTTTGTCTTAATAATGAGTAATTGCTCCACCAATCCTCAGACATTCAGCAGTTCGTCGTGGCATGCTCCTAATCAGTCGTCCAATCACGATTTGGGACAATCGGACTCACTCCTCTTGCAGTGCCACGGCCAATTCTTGTAGTGTTGTCGGTTGACGTCGACGAACACTTCTCCCGATCAAATTAAACGTAACACACTAAAGCAAAGATACGCTAAACAGTAAATCTTATGCAGCAACCGATAGGAAAGCAAACATGGATAGGGTAAGCCAGCACGCGGCAGTTTTCACCAACCCTTCCTTGAAGTGTCAAATTTGACAATGAACCTCTCCCACGTGTATGGCGCTATTGCGTGTCGCATGTGCAGCTCAGTGGTTCTGTTGGGGCGGTAAGTTCTTCATCTGTGAACATACTCTCAAAGCATGTCAAGTGTCCATGACTATTTATCATATCACAACCTGCATAGGTATTTGCATTTCAATATCCCGTACTTTTTTTAAAAAGTACATTTGAAGCCAACTTTGCTTTAATTCACAATTAGTAATTGGTTAATACCTGAAAATAGTCATACCTGGCCGCCCTGTTGCCAGATTGCCTGGAAAATCTTTAAGTTGGGTAAATTAATCAAAAGTACCAAAAACCGACCCTGGTTTGAAGAATACCGCACTACGCTTTTTAGAACCTTTGAACTTTTGATTTCTTCTCAGCCAATGTCTTCAATGTCCGACTTGACAACAGTTTGTGCATTGTTTGTTGTCTTGCCCGTAACTGCTCCTTTCTTTTCAAAACATAAATGGATAAAGATAAGGTCCCGTGTACTGAATAGAGGAATAGGCGGTACGCCACTGTCTGGATACCCCCCCCCCCCTGCATTCCATTGGATACTGATCTCTAACATTCGCTGATATATTCTTTAGCGAATAAAACTGTTTCGATCTGTGTGAAATAGTCTATGTTAGTCGTATGCAACTATTTGAAACTATGAGAGTATTTTTCGTAGCCACGGGTTTTATACTAACCTAACTCTTTCTAAATCACCTGATTAGCTAATATTTGGATGGGATAAACGTGCCGAAAATCAAACGCCTTATGTTGTTTCACAAGGGTCTGTGTTGGGCCCTTGTTCGCTGCAAATGTTGTAGATGTCAACAATAAAAGAAGGTACTGCTTGGTGTATTTCATTAGACAATTTTGTAAATTATGAAAATCTTGCAATTAAAACCTTTTAAATAAATTTTGATATTATGTTTTTCAGCAAATGGTGGTATATATATGGATACCGATGAAATATTTATAAACTCTTTCGAACCACTGAGAAACTATACAATTACGATGGGTATCGTTGATAAGATAACCGGAATGGGAAACGCTGTAATAGTTGCGCAGCGTCACTCAACATTTTTACAAACAATCCATGAAAATTATAAGTCCTTTAACGGTTCTTTATATTATCATAATTCGTTGAAAGCAGCTTATAAGTTATGGCTTAAAGACAAAAGCGCACTGAATTTAGAAAGCGATAACTTTTACAAACCAGGTTGGTATCAGGACGATAAATTATATAAGGAAATGGGTTTTGAGTGGAAGGATCAATATGCAATTCATCTCTGGGGTACACGGAACCGCTACCGAATGCCAACGAGCATGGAACAAATTGACAATTGGTATACTACTTTAGGTCAAATATTTCGATATATGTATTATGATGATGCACGGCTGAGATTAGTAGTTCAAAGAGAAAATGAATTGGACGACGACGCGGACGTTAAATAAAACGATGTCACACACATGACAACGAAGGGCTGTCTTGTAAAATGTTTAATCACACATAGGGCCAACACGTCTATTATGGTGTTCCGCAGGGGTCTGTTTTGGGGCATTTATTGTCTGCTTCAATCGCGAGGGATAAAGATGAGCAAAAACAGAAAGTCTTTCCCGCAATGTTTACCAGAAGTAAATGAGAATTAAAGAAAGCGTGCCCGGGGAAGGCTAGCGAGGGTGTGTAACCATGAACACTTCCTCTATATTATACGAACATTTGCCAGTTTACTTTCTACATTCGCACAATTTGCAACCTCGACCTTAAATTGACTAGACCCTATTATTTTGAGCTGAAAATAAAATATCCCATTTAATTGTGTTTGAGGCGTTGGTTGTCTTTATCTGATTGTGTTTATTTAAAAATGCGTTAGAACCTTGGATTGTTCGTCATTTTGTAAATAATTATTATAAACAATATGGTGAGTGATCAGCGCTGAGACTTTACACTTTTATTTACGAACGAATCGTGTACATACAGTCAATGAGTTCGGCCGCCGCTCGTGAGCAATTCTTTAGTATGCCAGGGTTGTGTAGGGTTGTTTTGAATGTGACATTTAATTATAAATATATATTTTATGTATACATATCGGATCAAGCGACTGGATACAAAAATGTACACTATATATCACAGGTTTTATTGAATTTACATTTGTGTTACTCATCTGTTTTATACCATGAAACCAAGTTTTGATATAAATCAATATTGTTTTTAGAAATAACAACAGATGGTTGACATCAAAATTCAGTGAGGAGTCTGCTTTTATCTTTACCAGTAATATGTAGACGGCGTTATATATTGCGATAATTTAACTTGATTTAAGCTGAAGATGGCAGTATGAAAAGAATACACATAATAAAATGACCTTCATGTGAGAACTTTAAGATGTGTAGGAATTATAGGCCCGTGATGCTCACTTGGCAAACCTAAGAAGTCTGGCTTATCTCATCTTTATGAATAATGATACAAAAAAGGCACAACACCCCTGACCGATGACCTTATAGACTGTGAACGGTAAGAATTGAATCGTTTGCGTAATGGTGGAATTTACCATCCAGATTTGGTTGAAATCACCGTGGTTTAATATTTCATTGTTATTACAAACCCCTGTCAAGAACAATAGCCCATCGGAAGATGCCACATTCAGTAAATGCAATCCCGCACAGCCAAATCAGACTGTTCCTGTAACATATGTTTAACAACTTCAAGTTCTATCATACGGTTAATCAATCATTAGAGATCTCGGGTTCGCTCCCGGTATTGACCTAGAAAGTTCCTCGAGATTATCCGCTGTGGTTTCCTTAATCTATGGTGTAGCACGGAGCGCCTGACAAGGAACAGTGTCTAGTCGTTCGGATATGACGAAAGAACGAGGCCCCCTGTACACATTGAGATGCGCGTAAAAGAATCATTGGTGGTTGGAATTTGTGATAAGAGTAGGCTGTAGTGCCGTTGTCCGGCCAAATTGTCCCTCGTAACACACTGTATGACACACAGTCGATGCAGGTACGCAGGACGTTAAACCCCCACTTCTTTCATGTATAATTAACACGAAACTAGTAAAACCCACTTCACTTAATATACAATCAATACGAACCTAGTCAAACCAGAATAATCAAATTTTTACATCAATAGGGGGCTTTATACAACATATGTTCAGAAATTAGTCACCACCACGTGTAACATATGCAGTCTACTGAAACTATCACTAACTGGTTTTCAAGGTCAGTGCACGTAAATGAATTTCTTTTTTTCTACTTTGAACGAGCTTTTTTGCTTGTTTTTGTTGGGAAAGGGTGGGCGTGGGGGTGGGGGGTCTTTCGAATTCGTATAAACTGCATGCTAATTATTTTGTTACCTTTTTTTGTTGGTTTGTTTTGTATGGCTACAGCATGATGGAATGAATTGATGAAATTGAGATTTATGTCACGTCAACCCAAACCGGGCTATATTAAGCAAAAAATATGGTTAATAATACGAGACAAATAAAATATAATTACAGAAACATGTTCATATGCATGAATAAAAATAAACTTAATTCTTCTCTTTCTAATTCGTATAAACTGTACTTACCGGGAGGAGGGGAAAATAACGAACGGTGGTGTGTAGCTTGATACAGTTTATTTAAAGATACATTATGGGAGATAAGATAAAGAGATGGCAGTTCTCGCTATAATAGTTAAAAACTAGATAGTGTAAAGGTAATTTGCTGAAAATTTCAGTCAAATTGATCAACTATGAGCCGAGAAAGAAGCGGGTGAAATTTTTGCATAGTCTCGGTCATCATTACTAAAATCATTAATATAAACAGCATAGTCTCGACTATCCACTTTTTTAAATTTAATTATCAATGGCCGTTAGCGGCATATAGGAGTCTAATCCAGTCAACATCGAAGGCTAACATTGACATCGAGAGTTTATTATGGTCTGGAAATGTTAATTAATGTCTAATTGATAATTTAGATAACATTTCAGGCCTAAAGAAAGACTTGTAATATGCAGATTTAGCTCTTGCATAATGCATGTTTAACAAATAAATTATCTCTCTCGTTCACTGAAACATGAACAAAATATGACTATTATCACATTATGTACATCAAATCAACAAACATTAACATATTTATAATAATAGCATGTATTATATTATATTATAGCAGAGTGATAACTATCGATCGTTAAAAACGGATTGATAAAAAAACTGGAGAACGTCAAGTTAAAAACTTGACTATATAAAACGTAAACAGAGGGTCCAAGTTAAAAACTTGGTCTCGATAGCTGAAGTGTTAACGCTCATGTGTGTGAAAGACACCCACGTTCAAGTAGTAAAGCGTCTCACGTTATATACACATTTGTTGTCAAGTAGACTATCAAACAGACACTGAAATGTAGAACAAACATGAAAACGAAGAAACCTATAAACATAATAATAAATGTATATTAAATACTGCGTATTTCCAGCGTCGATGATAAAAATCATTGACAGAGGTGACTGCAAGGGGTTTAAGGAACCACTATTTGGTTGGGAGTAAGAGCTTTAGGATCCGTGACATCATCACTTACCTTAGTTATTGGACAAGAATTCACAATGCTGTCAATTTCCGTGAACTGGGTAACTAAAGAATCGCGAGAAAGGTCCTTTGATAGTGACATGGAAGTGAACATTTCACATGACGAATGACAGATCTGCAACCAATAATTCAGTATTATTCACGAAGAATGGACATTAACCATTCTGTACTTACATGAAATTTCCTATGATACCAGTTGACAATCAGTGTAGCTAAAACACCCTTTGGAATTATAAGCAAAGATAAATAACCCGGAATACGACCACCAACAGCCAATAAACCAGAAGAATTCAATTCGGGATTTAACCGTATAATATGCGACGACTTCTTTACAGATTTAACTTTCCCATGTGAGTCTACCTCTGACTCGTAGGAAATGTTCTGAAAAGTTTTAATGATCAAAATTTCGGCGTCTTGAAGACATGAAGCAGAAAGCTGACATGTGACTGTTCGCTTGAGAAGAACATTTTTGGCTCGAGTAAGCCAAGCAACAGCTTTACACAGTCTTTGCCAATCGGAATAATATTGAGCTAATTTGACAACAAGATTTCTGGAAGCGCGATAGTAGTATAAACACATGATTTCTTCAGTTCAGGTTCATCGAGATTCAACTGATTTCCCGAGATAATACACTCAGACCAATAACATTTATGAAGACTAAGAAAACTTGGACCAGAAAAACATTCTCGCGTTGAAGATAAATTAGACACACCACGAGTAATAATATCTGACGGATTTCCATCGCCATTGATGTGTATTAGTGAGTGACCTAATGGCACTGACGCGATTAGCAACAACCGTTTTCAACCTACCAGTGTCAGAATTTATATATTGTAAGACAATATTACTATCAACCCAGAAAGTTGACTCGTTTAAAGAAAGCGTTAGCTGATTTCTGAGGACCTCGTCAATTTTAACGGCTAAAACTGCGGCCTGTAATTCCAGTCTAGGAATAGTTATTGTTCTAACGGGGATAGATAACTTTGGACAGAATTAATGCAATATTTTATGATTAACACAACGCAAACATGAAACACATCCGTAAGCCGACTCACTAGAATCTGACAAATGATGAAGTTCAAATAAGGTGTTATTGAACTCTTTGGATTTAATACACCTTCTGAAGGAAACAGTATCCAAAGAATGAAAATCAAGCAAACAGTTCGTCCACGGAGCGCATATATTGGGGGAAACCTCATCATCCCAAAACAAACTATTTTTAGTGGCATCTTGTAAGAGAATCCTGCCCCTAACGGTAAGCGGATTTTAAGGGTCATAAATGGATGCAACCATTTTGAACATTTTCCTTCCTCGAAGAGAAATTGCATGAAAAGTAAAAGAAATCATCATTGACGTTCCAGCGTATACCCAAAGTTTTAGTTATTGTATTTTTAAATATTTTGGATTCCTTCTCCCTATCGTCCATGGGTATCGCGTCATAGTTACCCTCTTCGTTCATAATTAACTTGGTGAGATTAAAACCACCTTTGGCCAATTGACGTTTGGAGCCCTCAATGACTAGAGAAAGTTCTTCAACAGTAGGAGTAGATCGAAGTATATTGTCGACATAAAAAAAATTTAAAATGGCGTCCTTAATGAGAGGGTCAACGAACGGACCATCGTGAGCAGTACGCCTCCAAAAACATGACCTGTCATACGGTACGTGGTGATTTGACCTAAAGTGTAAAACCAGAGAAACCGTAAACAATTGCGCTGCTGAGGCGGAATGATGACCTGATAATACATGCACTCAACGTTGGCACAGACTGCATAAGAGTGTTCTACTCCGTTTCCGCGTTGTTTATTCTGTAGCTGCGCAGTGCACCATACGTCCCAAAGTTACAAATAAAAATATGTAAAAAAATGAGAAACAGAACTCCATATCAAAGATTTATGCTACTAATAAATTGTTTGGTTCTTTATGTGTTGCGCCATTCTCCCACAGACAATGATATGGTAACAGACAATGAAATTGTAACAGACAAAGAAAATGTCACAGATATTTATAGGATGACAGATCATTGATAGGCCTATTCATAAGATCACTGCCAATGATAAATTCACAGATATTGATAAGCTAACAGACATTAATAATATTATACAGATATTAATATGTCCATAGATAATGACAAGACTACAGACCATGGCCAAACTACAGACTATGACACGATCAAAGACATTGATAATACCACTTGCGCCATAGACGAGTTTATAAAGCAAACGCCCGGCCTGTCAACAAGTACTGATTCTATCAAAAATTCCCTTCAAATACCTCTCAAAACTACCCCATGACGCAAGACTCTATGTTATGTCGGCTTGTCACATGACTTGACTGAGGGGAAATCCCTTTCCAGCTTGTATTTGTCGTTAGTCCCTGCCCATTTATCACAAATATCGAAGCCTAAGTAAATTTTTCTTTTTTCCGGTGTTTAGTCATAAAGTCTCACTCTATCAAACAGACACTTAAACGTAGAACAAACATGAAAACGAATAAACCTATAAACATAATAATAAATGTATATTAAATACTGCGTATTAGCATAATACAACGAACGGGAAAAACATAAACTACAAACTAATTTGTTTGTTAGTTGGTTAGTGGTGGAACGTTTATTCTTTCACTGTTGGGGGAAGTGGAATGTGGTGTATTGTCTTTCTTTCTAATTCGTATAAACTACATACTAATTATTTTATTAGTGGGTTAGTTTTGTAAGGCTACAATGTGGTTAGCTGTGATGTGATCGTTTATCTGCATTAATGAATTCCAGATGACTTCTTGCGACAGGTAGACTATTCCATGTGATTTACTTTTTGCCTTTTATTTATTTTCACAGTTTGAAGCAGATCGATATATTCTAACCAACAGACCAAAATCAAAAAACCAAATCGACGAATTCAACAAAATCGAGCAATATCTAATACTTAGAAGAATACCAGAAACTACTTCTTCCTTATCAGCGTAGTTCATATACCTAACACCTGTATTTTACTTTTGTATGTGCATCAATCACCGAGAAAAAAAAACGTTGATGACGAATGTATAGTTCTTGGCAATACCATGAAAATATTCCAGAAATATATTGCCCTTATAGCCTTCATATTTATGGCTGTTTATATTTGGCAAATGGTGAATAAGATAAATTTAACAGCATCAAACAATAAAAGATCTTCACAAAATGGACACCGAAACCGGAAGTTTGTGGATAAACCGTGTATCGTGGACAATTGGACTCGTATTGACCAAACAACAGAATCATTGAATCGTGATATATTTTGTGATGAATTTGCTGAACAATCTGATATTTTATGTCGGTGGTATCTTGATCAACAAAACATAACAGATCATAAAACATGTCTTCTACCTCAAGATGGCTACAAAGTTCCTAATGTCGTGTTTTATGTTACGTTTGGTCATTACGAGTTTACGTTACTACATTATATGTGTATTCTAAGTGCCAAGAAGATCCAAAGACCATTAGCTATTTATGTGATAGGAGATGAGCAGCCGTTAGGGAAATGGTGGAAAAAGCTTTGTCAAGATGTCTCTGATCTCAGATTTATACGCAGACAACAGCCTAAAGAAATATTTGGTATTCATGTTTACTGGGTTGCTCATGCGTCTGATATAGTTCGTCTTCAAATTCTTTTAGGTCAGTATGCTATATATTTCAAATAAAAACTTCCTCATATGTTGAACTGCGGTGTGTTGTCTAGTTAGGGCATTGAACGCGAGAAGTACCTTTCAAGATTTGTCATGCCCAACAGTACGGTAATATTCGCCCGGTAAAAATCCCAACAGTAAAAATACCACTGGGATTAAATTGTCCAGTAAAAGAAATCAGAAAGAATTTCACCAAGATATTTTCTTTTATAATTTCAATATTTGTTTTTAAACCAACGGCTGCCAGGCAGGATACGCCCACATTTTGCAAGAGATGGATAGAGAACAAGCTAAAAACAAAAACGATTTTTTTTGTACAATCAGGGGCCATAATCCAGAAAGTTATGATCTGAAATGCGCAAATATCAAAAGGGATATGTTTTAAGTTTCTTCAAAATTGGATAAAAATTTTGACCTCTAGAGGGTCCATAACCTTTGTATTACATACTTATACAAAGAGCGGCCATTTTGTTGGGCAGTTTCATTTAGATTTTCCCGAAATTCCAATTCAACCTTCATCATGAAAATCGAATCAAAATTGTGACCTCTAGGAGGTCCACAACCTTGATATACGAGATGTTCACACTATTTGCGTACATGGGGCGGCCATTTTCTCCGACTGTTTTGGTCCGATTTTCACGAAATTCGAACTCAACCATCAATAGGGTGTAACGGTAATATATTAAAACGATTTTTTTTTTAAAATCGGATAAAAATTGTGACCTGTAGAGGGACCACATGTTAAAAGCGCGATTTTTCGTACAATCAGGGACTATAATTCAGGAAGTTACAATCCGATATGCGCGAATATCGAACAGAAACAAGATATTTGGGTTATAAACATGCGTTTCAAGTTTCATCAAAATCGGACCCACAAGCTAAAAACGTGATTTTTCGTACAATCAGGGGCCATAATCCACGAAGTTACAGTCCGATACATGCCAATATCGAAAGGAACCGAGATCTTAGGGTGATAAACCTATATTTTAAGTTTCATGAAAATCGGATAGAAAATTGTGACCTGTAGAGTGTCCACAAACAAATTGTGGACGGACGGACCGACAGAGACGACGACAATATACGTCCACTTAGCACTTTGCAATTGAAAGTGAAATGGACAATTAATTGCTATCTGTGCTTTCACATTGGTATTTCTGTACGGAGAAAATAGGTTGAACTTAGCGCATTTGTCCTATTTGACGGTGTCTGTGCTTACTATCTTGAAATTATGAACATTTATGTACAACTTTCTCTGTAATTATTATACATGCCGTGGCTTCTCCGTTATAAAATTATCCTTATATTTTCAAATTGGTATTATTCTTCTGTTAATATCACTTAAATCTGGTAAGTCAAATCATGTGAATTTTAATCTTAATAAAACCGTTTTTGCGACAAAACATCGCCATTTTTTTGTTGTATTTTGATGTTAATATTTTGTGTTCACAGTTCGGGAGAAAAGCCATTGAATTTATCTTGGTCCAATTCTTTTAGAATTTTTTGAAAAAAATATATTAAAGGTTTTTTTTTTACCTACTTTCCTAAAGGAGGGATTTTTATCTACTTTCCAAAAGGCGGTATTTGTCCGGGGGGACGGGGTATTACCGGTGGTTTTTTTTTACTGGGCAGACTATTGCCTTTTACTGGGGCGGGTGTGACGAGGGGGCAGGGGCGTTTTACTGCAGGGGGTGGGGATTATTACCGTATCTGGGCAAGACAATAGCCTTACTACACAACACATCGCGGTGCAACATACTGGGGCTGCTTAGGTTGTTACCGGGGAATTATTACCTACATTCGACATGCCTGGTTTCCACTTGTCAGGGGTGAAAAGGAAATCTTGCACAACCTCTAGTCATTGGTCAACATTTGATTGACGATTATCACACCAGGTATCTTCAGGGAACGAAATGAGGTATATGGTTCACCTAGCTTTAACATATTTTTATTTCCATAATACACTGCCGGAGAAGAGACTTAAGAAGTCGGGGGAAACCGCAATAAAGGTAGAAAAGCTACAAAGTTAGCCATGCATGGAATCAAACCCCGGACCCATCATGGTTCACTCCCATTTCGACTACGTCCCATTTAGACTACACCCCATTTCGACTTCAAATTTTATTACCCTCAAAATCCCGACCCCCAACTAATCAGCTAGATGTAATTAATGTAATGATTATTGTTGAAATAGCTTATTCATTATATAATTAAAGCTTGTTTTCTTTAGTATCAAAGCAAAAATATCATCTCGGAGTACATTTTTGTTTTTGACAAATATTTTTAATATTTGGAGACTACATTAGCTTAATACTTGCTTATCCATACAAGATGAATTGTTTCAAATTTTGTACTTGTCTACGATATCACCCTTGGTGGAAGTGGACGTAAAACTCCAGGAACGAACCAACTAAATTTTGTGCATTTATTCTTCAAGTACACTATCATTCAGTTAAAAATTTTGTTATCTTATTAGAATTCCTTTATAACAAATATTGTGCTTATTTTCAAATTTGGGAATTTAAAAGTAGAAATATTTGTTTATTTTTTTATTAACAAACAAAAAACATTGTTTTGTGTGTATATGGGGTGATGTCGTAAAGTAGAATTCGTAGTTTCTCAGAGGGGTAAGCTGCAATTGTTGTTGGATATGGATATATGTATAGAAAAAAATAATGAGCGTGGTGAATGTATTCATTGGAAGTATGTAACCAACCTGCAGTGGAAATGTACCACAATGGATCACGACTCAGAAAATGAACACCAAATCAAATTTAAAAGTATAATCTGTTATACGCTGTAGCCTAAGTGGGATGTTTTATGGAAGAATCTATTATAGCTATAGAGAGGGTATATTCGTAGGGATAAGAAAACCACCAGATCATATAATCTGTTGTTATAAGCTGTAGTCGAAATGGGACGTAGGCGAAATGGGAGGGTACCCCCATTATAGCAGCTGTAATCACTTGCAGCTCACTTGTTAGATCTGGCGGTTTTAATAAGAATTACAAGCAATAGTGTTTACAAATAAATATAACTTCGCAACCACGTTGTGTACAAATAAATATTACCTTGGTACCACAGTGTTTATGAATAAAGATTAGCTCATAAATACTGTAGTTCTGATTACTAATTAAATTATGATATATAGAGAATCTCTTACGAGTCTTTTTTTATATAAAAAAAAATATCAACACAAGTCGATAATTTTAAAAAAAAGAACGGGTAGAAGAATTTAATTATCACCAACCCTTTCTTCCACGCACAAATAAATAAATATAACTCTTTAGTGTAGATTTCAAATTCATTTAAAGGACATCTCCTAGGAGATACCGCTCAGTAGAGTATGAAAGTTATGACACAAGCGATATCTATTGGGTAATAAAGGATCTTTAATACGATTACAGCAAGCATAGCTTCTCGCTATCTTCATTTAGCTTCAACTCCGCCATTGATATGACCATAACGTAACTTAATTTTGCCTCGTTTTTGCCTGTCAACACTGCAATGTCTGTGTGGTAGTGACCTGTTTGTGGGTTTGCCGTTTAAGTTTCTGTGTCCACCCCCACATCGCGTACTGCTGCGTTTGAATTTGCATAGTTTACTATTAAAGAATGCTTCAATTTGAATTCGAATATATATTTTCTATAGGCGACATATTTATACCCCGCCTTTCGGAGAAAGGAGTGGACTATTAAAAATTGGTTAATCTGCCCGTCACATATTTTGAAACACACTATTTCTGCTTCTAATAAAGGGAGAATATTTGAACATGGTGTAGATTTACATTTGACGAATGGTTTGACCGAGTTCGATGACGAAATTTACTGCTTAGGATAAACACTGATAAGCCATTTGATTTGGTCGAGATTAGAATAGAATGCGTAAATGTTTATTATGCGAGTTCGATGATCGTCGTTTTCTGCACAAACAAGCAGAGATTGGCCGAACCTTGCTTCTGAGAATGATGAAACACGGAGTATAAAATTATAATTACCTCAATATCTAACGAGTTTATTCTGCTCTGATTACAGTGATAACTAATTTAATTGGAACAAGATAACCTTTATTTTAATTGAGTGGGCTTGTTATAATTTCATTTCTCCAACACCAAGACTAAGTTTGATACTGAACATGTTCTACATGTTAAGCACGGGTGCGAAAATTTAATTGCCGGTGCTTTTGAACTCTGATTCGAATTAGGTGAAATTGATGAAACTTGGCGCCTATCTTTATACCCTAAATTAGCTTGTTATTCAATACTCTCCCAAAATCTTGTTATAGTTTTATTTGGGCTTCAGTGTAATTCAAGTGAAACCTGCGGACAAGATAAACTACACATACATTGCCAGAAATTAACAATAAATATACCTTCCTGTCAATTTAAAACATAACATATGGCTGAAGCATTCATTCCTCAATTTGTTTTATTTTAAATTAATTCCCAAAAGGTTTCCGCACATTTCCTTTACGTCAATTAACTGCATTGAATACCATATATTTTAAGATAGTAACGGTTTTTGAAATATCGACTGAAATATGTGTGTCTTGTTACACTCAGGGAACCCCTATTAGTGATATTGCTCTAGGCCGTGATTAATATTTCTGTCAACGAATTATCTGATGCAAGTAGCAATTTATCTTTACATATTTCTTGTGTGGTTTTCTTCCTTTCAGCAAATGGAGGCATTTACATGGATACCGACCAAATTTTTGTAAAGAACTTTAATCCAATCAGGAACTATACAATTACAATGGGTATTATCGACCGCTTTACTGGAATGGGTAATGCTGTTATTTCCACAGAACGTCATTCCACGTTCTTGCAACAAATATATGATAATTATCGAACTTATAATTCAACGAACTATTATAAAAATTCGCTTAAATATTCTTACGAATTGTGGGAACGGAATCACAAAGCACTTCATCTGGAATCGTTAACTTTTTATCGACCCCTGTGGTCGGAGCTTCATAAGCTGTATAATACCACAGGATTTAATTGGAGGAAACGATATGCTGTCCATATCTGGTCCCGAGAAAAAAAATACCCTCTGCCAGAAACTATATCAGATGTTGATAAATTGAACACAACATTAGGAGAATTGTTCCGGCATGTATATTACGGTGACTCTAGATTGAGATTGTAATAGATATTAATACGTATATTAATTTTTTATTTTTTTTTTTTTTTTTTTTTTTTTGGGGGGGGGGGGGGGGGTACCTTTTTAGAAATGACCTAAGTGTGCCTAAGTAGTAAAAGACGCGTTAAAACATCCACAGAAACTGAATATATTGGTGCAGTTCTAGATTCCTCATTGTCCTTCAAATCTTTTTTATCAGTTCTACAGAGAGAGAGAGAGAAATGGGGTTTAACGTTCACTCGACACAAACTAGGTCATTTCGGGACTAACATATGGTTTAATTTTATTTCAATAATTCGCTTGCGCGTAGGGGTCTTTAGCAGTGGGAGGAAACCGGAGGACCCGGAGAAAACCCACGAGGTTGGACAGGCGACCCTACTCCTTGACACGTACAACCGGGGATTCGAAACCACGCCAGTTGACTCAATGACTTTATGATACAGCGCGCGCACGCTAACCATTCAGCCATCCAACCCCCCCCCCCCCCCAGTTCTACAGAGAATCAAGTGCGAAATATTACCCTTAGCAATGAAGGTGTTACACGGCCGGTTATCATTAAAGAAAATGCTATACTAGAATGATTTGCTGTCTACCAACTAAAGGTCATATGATAACATAAAAAAATCGGCAGTTTCAGTAAATATCGATAGAAATGATATATACCAACTAAAAGTTCAGGATACCCATAGTCTGATACAATTAATAGAAAAGTAGTTATTTGGGGAAATCGTATCATTTACGTAATCTGACATCTTTCGTTTGCACTCTTGAGAAAGTGGTGTATAGGGGGGTTTAAAGATACATTATGGGAGATTTTTATAGAGAGTAGGCCATTCTTGCTATAACAGTTCAAAAGTAGACGATGAAAGAAGAATATATTGAAAATTTCAGTCAAATTACTTTATTCTGAACAAAGTTATCATCGTTGTAATATTTGTCTAGAAATGGTAGTCAAATGTATCTTCACCTTGGTCGATCGTTTGATTGACAGGCGTTAACTCCACCTACATAATCTCGATTATCAAGTAACGTTTTCAATGGCTTGAGACGGGGTTGCAGTTCAATTCGTATCACATTTATTTTTACTACAAATTAAAAATAAGACTTTTATTATATAGATAAGAAGCGAAAGTTTGAAAGGAATGGACCAAATCAATGAGGCATAATTATAGCCGACTTCTTGTTAGCCTGTGTGTACTCTTGTACTGTACGTGACTACATTACTCCCGAAGCAGACAAATAGGAAACACTACAGTGATCCAATGGGGCTGCAATTCAACTGGGGTGATGTTAGCTGCGATGTTTATCAATTTCCATAATTTTTCTGTAAACGCAAGTGACAAAAGAGCGTATAATACGACATCCAAACTCTCATTTTAACCACAACTGAACATAATATCAAGGCCGTATATATCGAACTTTCAATCAAATTGACAGACATGCGGCATCGCTCAACAGCGGCTTCGCTTCGTACACTCTATCATTTAACCTCGATCTAACTGATGACGTCAAAGTAACGGTTAATAATCTCCGCATGGGGCGCCATTTATGATTTAATCAATCAGTGAAATCCTATTTAAATCCAAGCTGTAGCCGAGCCATCCGTGGTTCTACAGAGTTGATTTTGGGCTTGTTGTTTAAATAAAGATCTAATTTATAATTCCTATTAACATCTGAAGCCTAAATTAAGACTTGCAATAATCAGATTTTACCGAAAAGTATATTTATATTTAAATGGCCTATTTTAAAACCTTTACATTGGGTTGAAAATAATGTGGAAACAGAGGGATCATTGATGGATTGTAATGAATCGAGGGCTACATCAGAGTCAATAAACTATAGCTGAGGTCGCCTTTATGCATTGTTGGATCAATAATTTTATGATCTTCAAAAATCAGACTATTATTATCAGTACCAACAGGATTATCGAAGGAAGTTTCAGTATCATTAGTAGTGCTATTATTTGAAAGAGTTACATTAGTGAAACAGTGGAAGTTATCAATCAATGGTTCAATAGAATAATCAAAAATATTGGTGGTGTTGGTCATATATTGCATAAAATTATTATAATCAATTAAATCAGAATCATATGTAGATTTTCCGGCTTCTGAATGGAAATTTAACCTCGCCCTCTCTTCTGTAGAAATTATAGATGTGCCCGCTATTAGGGCGGGGCAATTATCATTTTCGGGGTGTTTCGTATGGGCACCGTTTTACGTTAACATTATTCTATTTAATTGGATTAATCCGTGCACGAGTTGACTGGACGATAGTACCCTACTTTCAGCAATTGATGGTGACAGTAATTATCGTTGAGTTAGTTTAAGAAAGTTGAAACTTGCAAAATATCTACTTAGCCCATTTCTCGTTGTCACCCATTAGTTTAACCACTTCAATACATTAAACAGAGCACCTTACATAGAACTAAAGTAACCACTATAGTATTACATGTCGTGCATCGCCCCGAATATTCTCAAAATAAAACACACGCACACCCCCCCCCCCCCATCCCACGACACACCCTCTTCGCTTATTTGCAAATATCTGTTCCTTAGTAACGAAAGGTTCCCAGGGGCATTGTAGTGTACCAAAAGGGAAGTTTTGCCAACCCATCGTCGAATTCCAACGGTCAAGTTTCTTTACTTGCACGCCCACGAGTACACGGATGATTATCGTTTTTTGTGGCATCTGAACGACCAGACAATTTTGTTCTTGCCAAGGCCTACGTCCTGTGCCACTGACAAATAAAAACCGTGATGGAAACTTACGAATTACTTTTTCGGCCAAAACCGTGATGGAACCCGTGACGTACTTGTTACTGGCCCACAACATGATCACCACGGCTCAGCAAATGGAAAGACATCATCTGCATTCTCAGTATTTCTATGTGCGTCTTCCCATCTTCAATTGAAGCATTATTCATTAGGAATTCACTTATTTTGTTGTATAATTTGGCATGATAAAAGGTTGATATTGCATGAAATAAGAAACGCAATAAGAAAGCTAAAAAATAATTTTATTTGACATTTGATGTTTAAAAATACAAAGAAGAAACCGACAATTGTAAATGTCATTGGAGACTCCTATCAGCTGTCAATCATGCTATTACGCGGTCAATTACCTTGAGATGTTTATACAAACGTCGGTTCCGATGGTCTGGAACATTGGGGTAATTTGGAATAATATTTCTTTTTAATGGATTTCCTAAAGTTCTTGCTGAAACTTAAAAACAGGAAGAATTTGATGGAACAATTGGCGTATGATATAAACAGTAAAATAAGTTGTAGGAGTCCTTCGTTATACGAAACGCCGGGTGATCGACTAAATGCGCGAACTAAATAGTGCAAGCGCGCGATATGTACGGGGGCATTCATTATTAAAAATGACGTCGATAATGCAAAGAGCATTTTTGTAACTCGAACTTGTGGACAATTGAACACGAAGCTTTTCCGGCTCATTTCTCTACTGGGACTTAATTTTTTCCATCTAAATGTGTTTGCAATAGCTACCGACATTGTTGTCAACATTAAAGCAATAACAGTTAACGGTATCACTAAAGTAATAACAGAATCAACATACGTCAACACAGAAAACATGACGTAGTACTCGGGTTTACGGTCGCACATGGAACGTTTAGATTCCGCATTTTCTTTCACCTCCGTACTTATCAACGATAAACTGTATAGACACATGGCAACAAGTAGTAATATAATTACCACTGCCCTGGCCCTTTGTAATGTACACATTTCCTTGACTTTAGCAGGATAACATATCGTAATAAAGTTCTCCACAGTAATACAGACGATATACCAGACACTCAGAAAACTACACACATAAGTTAAAAAGACAAGAAGTTGACAGATGCCTTGACGATGATTAAAACTGTAGCCCAGAACTTCCAGCCACACAAATAATAATCCAATCAGAATACCCGAATCGGAGCCCAGAACAGCTATGACGTACACACTGGAAGACAATCGTCTCAGTTCTCGTCCACTGAATACACAACATGAGATCGCGTTTCCTAGAAGTCCCGTAAACACGATCACCGGAAGTATATACATATTTAGGACACCTGCTACGATGTACACAAACCTCGTTTGTTCGGATATCACAAAACTTAAATTAGTACTAACGTTCATGATTTTTTAAATGGATAACTCACTCTTGTTTATCAAATGGTTAGACAGGCAGATAGAATCGTTGTCCACTTTCAGGTTCAGCATTATCGATTTAGTTGCTTTTGACGCGATATCTCTTTTTTTACGGACGGTCGACACACGCGCGCCTTCCAGTTCTTGATCGTAGTACGGTATGACGTAAGAGGATGTTCCTGCTCCACCAGTTGTAGTTATAACCTTGCTGATTATCTTCTCTCTAAAACTGAAAATAAAAAGAAATGAAATGCAATAAAATGGGATTTAATGTTCTACTGTTCTACGGTGTGCTATGGGGGGCATTTTGCCCGGAGAGTGGCGCTACTGCCTACACTTGCATCGGATTCCAACTACTAGTTGATCTTTTACGTGTACACCAAAGTGTACAGTACATGATACGACTAAGCGTTGTATCTCTTGTCATGCACCACTGACAAGGGGGAACCATGCCGGAAAACTTTCTTGACCGGGATCGAACACGGTATTCAAAGGTTTAGCGAGCCAATGTCTTACTCACTGAGCCACCGCGGCTCCATAAAATATATATCGTCAATATATCGTCATTAGTGCACACTATCTATGGTCATCCAAAGATTGCAGATACAGGTCAGAAAGGAAGGCATTATCAAGATGGTCTCGTAACTAAATTGTACTCCTAGACTACATTTTCACACTGACAATGGAGGAAGTGAGAAATGCTCCCTTTAAATGACAGGAAATGATCTAGAAAGAAGATCTAACGCTGCAATTTTCTTAAATTATTAATTCCGAAATCATGAATTAGTAAAGTATTATTTGGCGATTACGAGGATTGGAAATAAATTCGTATTCCATATTAAACACCTGATATCGCTAGAAGCTTTGGCTAGTTAAAAGTAAAAAAATGACCAGCATACTTTTATTTAACTGAATCGAAATGATTCCCAAGGAAGCAATTCGTACCGAGATAAAAAAAAAGAAAGGAAGATTTAAACTATGCTTGTGCCCTGGACAATTGCGCATTGATTAAAGACAATTCCACGATGGCGGTTCATATAGTGCGATCGTACATAATTATTTCCTATTTCTGATATTCGGTCGTAATATAAGACATAAAAATCAGAAAAACTATATACATAATCAATACATCTAATATTTAATGTTTTCATTAATCACAATTTTATTCAAATCATCCGAGATTTTGTCATCAAAAAATCTGGCTAATAAAATCTATTTTGATTTCTATTTAGATGCAAAATTTTGTGAAATGTTCTTTACGGTTTAGTATCGCTCTCTCTATATATCGTAATCATATTAAGCATATTAGTGCTAGGAGACTGTAAAGACCCTGATATTATCCTTTGTATACTCTTCAAAAAACGTAGGAGATATTCAGAAACAATACAAAACTGCGGTATCCAGTGTATGTTAATAACGGCCAATTGCCTACACATGAACATAAACAGTTCATATGGGCGGCTTATCGGACGGCCCCATTTCAGTCGCAAAGAGATACACTGTCACAAGTGAAAATTGACGTTTTTTATTTTTGTCTTAATAATGAGTAATTGCTCCACCAATCCTCAGACATCCAGCAATTTGTCGTGGCATGCTCCTAACCAAACGTCCAATCACGATTTGGGGCAATCTGACCCACTCCTCTTGCAATGCCACCGCCAGTTCTTGCAGTGTTGTCGGTTGACGTTGACGTCCACGAACACGTCTCCCGATCATGTCCCAGACATGCTCTTTAGGGGAAGGGCAGGACTCATGGCTGACCAAGGCAGAACTATCGGTGCCAGGATGTGGTCACGGTAGTACACGCCAGTGACCCTCCCTTGAACAATATGCAAGTCTGTTCTGCCAGTCATGGTGTCTCACGTTAACGTTAGCATGACGCCCATTTACACGCCTTCATACGTGAGCTTGCATATCGGTGAAATGTCAATAGCACGTAGACGTTCATCATGTTGAAGACGCTAAGATACGCTAAAGAGTAAATCTTATGCAAGAAACGATAGGAAAGCAAACATGGATAGGATAAACCAGTACGCTGCAGTTTTCACCAACCCTTCCTTGAAGTGTCAAATTTGACAATGAACCCCTCCCACGTGTATGGCGCTATTGCGTGTCGTACGTGCAGCTCAGTGGTTCTGTTGGGGCGATAAGTTCTTCATCTGTGAACACACTCTCAAAGCATGTCAAGTGTCCATGACTATTTATCATATCACAACCTGCATAGGTATTTGCATTTCAATATCGCATACTTTTTTGGAAAAATATACATAACATTTTATTAAACAAGTGCACTATGGTCCACGAACTACGCATGGTTTCATCGTCGCCATCTTGGAATTGTGGCGTCAAAATCGAAGTCTATCAATCGATGCGCAATTGTCCAAGGAACACATGACGACATCAGATCAGTGATGATGGTCACCGAGAATCCTAACATGATCCGTTACCCGATGATAGCTACATCATCGACAAACCGGTACGTGTAACATATACGTCTTGTAAATGCTAGAAGCTAAAAATAATATGGTGGTGAATAAGAACGACACGAACTATAACTTATCTCTCATCACGTCATTATCAAACACACTGGGTTCCATCGTGGTTTAAATATTTATATAGTGAATACGGAATGGATATCTGACGCTTTTCGAATTGGATAAATGTGCACGGGCTTCTGATGTTGTGTATCAGTTTTACTTATATAATGAAGTAGCATACCGTGGACTTGCATTTGCATGTAAAGAGACATTTTTATACATAGATATTTACATTGCCACATAATCTATCACACGGGATCAAATAGAGTTAAAAGCTCTAAAATAACATCTCCAGTGGGAAAAGGTTAAAAAAGAAATATCGGAAATAACCAGCAATTCCATCATTAAAATCTCCAAATTCGACCAGCTTATGGGCCAAATCACCGAAACGTCGCACTTTCAACCGTACGAAAATGGTAGGAAATATCGCGGTCAGATATCAATGCATTAAATGACTATTAACTTAAGTTGCTCAAGTTTTTTTAATAGAAGTGTCTGTGATTGTGTATGGTCTTAAATATTATATTTCGTTTTGATTCAAATGAAATGCAATGAAATGAAATGGAGTTTAACGTTCTACTGTTCTGTTCCGAACTGAGCTAATGAAGGCGGGCATACGCCATACAGTATACTATGAGGGAAATTTTGCCCGGACAGCGACGCTACGGCCTACTCTTATATCGAATTCCAACTGTCAAGGGATCTTGTACTTGAACGCCAATGTGTACAGGGGACCTTTGTTGTTGTTTTTTTGTCACATTCGAACCACTAGACAACTGTCCTTTCTCGGCCAATGCAGGGAACGAACACCCGACCTCCAGGCTAGCGAGATAGCGTCTTACCCACTTAGCCACCTTGATTCAAATGATTTTCAATATAATTACCTTGTATATGGTTATCAACTGTATATAAACCTTTATTTGAGCAATGTGAGACTTTTCAATAATGAATATCGTGAATAAGACATTGGCTCGCTAAACCTGGAGGTGCCGTGTTCGACTGGATTTTCATACGTGATTCCTCCTTGTCAGTGGTGCAGGACGGACGGTTCTGCAAGGGACAACGTTTAGTCGTTCGAATGGCAACGAAACACTGTGTACACATTGGCGTACACGTAAAAGAACCCTTGACAGTAGTTGCAATTCGAAATAAGAGTCGACCTTAGTGTCGCGTTCCAGGTAGAATTTCACTAAAAGCACACTGTATAGCGTAGGCCTGTCTTCATTAGCTGAGTCGGTGCAGAACAGTAGGACGTTAAACCCCATTTTATTTCATTTTTATATTCTGGCAAAACGGGACTTTAAACTATTTTCTATTTAATTTTTTTTTTTTTTCAAAAAAGAAAATCAACTGTTTTATGGAGTCTGGTAAGAAAATCAAGTCGACACAATACATTAGAGTTCTTTAATACTTTAAGTAAGGACGGATTTCAAAGTAATCAAATCGCTTTTATCTTCTTTTCTTGGTTCCAGTTAAATGATACCTTTTAAACTAGGTAATGGGAACACGGGTTGGCACCGGAAAATCTTTATTTCAAACATCAAATGGAATGGAATTTGGTGCAAGGAACTGCAGGAAACGTTGTTAAAGACAGCAATTTGAAGGAATCCGGAGATTTTTATTATTCAACTAATGTTAGATTCTTGGGTCGTATATCGGAAGTATTAGAATGCACAGGAAACGTTAAATCTGTCAATCAGTTTCATTTGACATGTGCTGATCAACAACAGAAATCTCCAAGCCATCTCCATCCGTGAATAAAATCTCAAAATCTCGCAAATCCCGATAAACTAAATGAACAATATCTACAAGCAATTTGCTCCGCTTTTTTAAAAATTGTTCAGCACACACTGTTTGTTTCCAGTGTGGAAAGGAAGGTTGTATTGTCTTGTTTTTGATTGACCAAATTCAGCGATTGCTGTTTATCATGGACGGTGGGGGGGGGGGGGGGTCTAGGATGGTGGGGAGACTTGCAAACCGTGTCGGATTTAGGACAAATGAGGCCTTGTGCCAGTTAAGTTATGAGGCAGCTTACTTGGGCTCTACAGGAGGTAGGCACGACATGATTACATGCTCAGAAAATTTAGGAGTAGTTAAAATATTACGTTGTCTGATCAATCAAGTTTCAGGCAAATTTTTGATTTATCAGGGCTCAGTTGCATTTCAGCAGGAGTTTGAAATTATGTTTTGGAAGGAAGATGGCGTTCCCCTGCCTAATGGCGCCATGTGCTTCAGCACACCTAGCACAATGGTGAATTCGGCATCTGTATTCTTGTCTTGTGCCACCATCGGCAAGCGTGTCATACTGTTTCGAAGAGGCCTTCGGTACTGCGTAACTGCCTGGGTAATTATGTCTATACTCTTGAAGAAGATACAGCTGTATGTGATCGTCCCGATTACCAAGTTACTAATACGATTCAAGAAGGTTCCACTAAGCGAGTCTAGTGATCATTTTTAAACTTCGCAATATTTTGAATATAAATTTGTTCAAATGGTAAATAAGCGTCATCGTCACATTTTAGCTTTGTTTAGCCCAATTAAACCAACTTGTATTCAATGAGGTCTAAGATAACCCCTTTAAGAAATGCTGTCCTGGCAAAATTCCCTCATAGTAAACATTGTGGTGTATATCCGTCTTCATTAGCCTCGCCGGTGCAGAAAGATAGCTTATTAAACCTAATTTCTAAGAAAC